TTTTTTTTTTTTTTTTTTACTTTCCAGGTCCAAATAAACTTAACAATTTCTGCAATATATGAGACCACAGAAGTTATTTACCTTGAGTATCTCTGTAATCTCCAGAGTCTTCTAGGAGATTTTTCAAATAATCTACAAAAGGGAAAAAATTATATTTAGTACAGTAAAGCACTAAGGACAAAAATATTTGTCTTTCTTACTCAATACCTTAGTCTGTGTTGTTAGTTCATATATAGCCTGTTTAAACTTGTACTGACTTTCTAAAAATGTGAAAGACTAAAAGCCTGAGACTGACTTGAAATCAGGACACAGAATCATGAGCTGGAAAGAGCCTTAGTGATCACACTGGTCACTGGAGAGGTGAGCAATCAGGTTACCGTGCGCGGGGTCTTGCCCAAGCCACACAACCCCTTTGTGGCAGAGCCAGGACCAGAATCCAGGTCTCCGAATGCCAAACTCAGCTTTTTTACTCAAACATACAAGACATACCTCAATCTCAGACCATATGCATGTCTAGTACAAAGTTTCAAGCATTAATAGATTGGCCACCTAAGGGATTTTTTAATCTACAAGTCTAACAATGCCCAGAACACCAGAGGAGTGCAGTACAGCTGACCCTTGAACAACATAGATTTGAACTGCATGGATCTACTTATACATGGGTTTTTTTCAATAAATATATTGGAAATTTTTTGGACATTGTGACAATTTGAAAAAGTATTTTCTTTCCCATAGCTCTATTATAAGAATATAGCATATCATATATATACTATTCAAAATGTGTTAATCAAGTGTTTATGTTATCAGTAAGACTACACGTCAACAGTAGGCTATTGGTAGTTAGGTTTTGGAAGAGTCAAAAATTATATGCAGATTTTCAACTATGCAGTAGTGTCAGCGCCCCTAACGTCCACATTGTTCAAACGTCAACTATATAAGTCTCTAGACCAGTGGTTCTCAAATGGGGTAAATCTGTCCCCAGGGGACATTCGGAAATGTCTGGAGACATTTCTGGCTGTGACAGCTGGGGAGAAAGAAGGTGCTACCGGCCACCAAGTAGTGAGAGGCCAGGGATGTTGCTAGTGAATACACTATAAATGCACGGGATAGCTCTACAACACAGAATTATCTGAACCAAAATGTCAAGAGCACCACAGCTGAAAAACCTCACTCTAGAATAAATGTCCTATAAATGAACAACATGGTGTACAGTGGTTCTTACAATACAAAAAAAATTAATAAATTAAGCAATAGGTTATACTTAATAAATTTTTAATACCAAGGAAAGTCACAGGATTTCCTGGTAATCCTTCTCTGCTGAGAAATGTTGGATAGCTTCCCATCACCTATTAAATTAAAACATATTCCATTCCCTCCACTTCAAAGTCCCTCTTGCTACTGCCTAACACAGGCCCTTTGCTCTTATCAAAGTTTGATCCTGAAAATGAAATTGTCTTTAAAGCTGTGTGAGGTCAGCTAGTATTACACAATAAAATGACCCTATTTAATCAGATACACTGTGGGGTCCCCTGCCATTCCCTAATTGGATTGAACTTCCTGTCACAGTGACTTCGATCATGAATGCTTTGAATGGACAGAATGCAGTTAGTTGATGCAGACTGGGTCAATGAAGAGTAACAGTAACAATCTATTTCTATAACTGAAATGAAAAACAGCTACAAATGGTGCCTAAATGCACTGTATTACATTTGCAAAAGGCAGTCTAAAGCACTTACCCGTCCAGGCTGCACGATTTCATGGTGTCCATTTAAGCTGTATTGAATTTGCATAAGTTTCTGAAAGTTGTCCTACAGAAAAAGAATGCAGAGCATATGAAGCCTGGGCTCCCAGGTTTGGCAGTGCGTCGGCCCCTGAAATCCAGATACTCACTCCTTGCTTCATGGTGTCGTTGGCGTGGTTAGCTACCTCTATGACAACAGCAAGGGCATCTGAAACATGGAGGAACCAGAGTCGAGTTTGGTCAGTCCCCAGGAATTGCAACACTAAGCAATTCCAGATGACAAGATGGCTAGTGTAGAGCAACCAACCCCTGCAGGAGCTCAGTTAAGCGTAAGTAGGGAGAAATACAGCTGATGAGGCAAACCAAGGAAAAACAATACTTATGAAAAAAATGAGTCAAAGAAAGGGACATTAGATCATGGGGATCAATAGTATGAATGTCAGGGTTGTTTTGTGCTGAGATTTGATTGCCCTATTTACTGGCCTTTAGTGGGAACCACAGAGGCTAAACGTCCTGGAATACCTATTAAAATCTGCCCAAAGAAGGTTATCATTGAGAAAAACTGGTGGAGTGTTGAAGAGGGAAGTATGCCCTCCCGAGGCTGGTGTGGCAGTGACATCCCTGCCTGATTTGTGTAGTTTGGTCACTTTAGGGACTCAGGATTTTAAAGCTAGAAGGCGACCTTGCAGATCAAGTGGTTGAATCCTTGCTTTCGAAAGCAATGGACACCTAGAGAAGGGGAGTTTACCACCAGCACAGAGGGACTGTGGCAGGAGGAGGAAGCTTCCTGCCTTGGACCTTGCCGGTCCGCTCCCTCAGGAAGCTGGCTGTGGGCCTCTATTTGCCCTGCAATTTCACCTGCATCCAGCACCATGTCACCACCTTATCTAGTTCTATAGTTCTACCTCAATCTGCCTAAAATAGAATTTTTTAAAAAAGTTTATCAAAAATATTGAGTTAAAAAAATTTTTTTTTTTTTTTTTTTTTTTCCAGGTCCAAATAAACTTAACAATTTCTGCAATATATGAGACCACAGAAGTTATTTACCTTGAGTATCTCTGTAATCTCCAGAGTCTTCTAGGAGATTTTTCAAATAATCTACAAAAGGGAAAAAATTATATTTAGTATAGTAAAGCACTAAGGACAAAAATATTTGTCTTTCTTACTCAATACCTTAGTCTGTGTTGTTAGTTCATATATAGCCTGTTTAAACTTGTACTGACTTTCTAAAAATGTGAAAGACTAAAAGCCTGAGACTGACTTGAAATCAGGACACAGAATCATGAGCTGGAAAGAGCCTTAGTGATCACACTGGTCACTGGAGAGGTGAGCAATCAGGTTACCGTGCGCGGGGTCTTGCCCAAGCCACACAACCCCTTTGTGGCAGAGCCAGGACCAGAATCCAGGTCTCCGAATGCCAAACTCAGCTTTTTTACTCAAACATACAAGACATACCTCAATCTCAGACCATATGCATGTCTAGTACAAAGTTTCAAGCATTAATAGATTGGCCACCTAAGGGATTTTTTAATCTACAAGTCTAACAATGCCCAGAACACCAGAGGAGTGCAGTACAGCTGACCCTTGAACAACATGGATTTAAACTGCATGGATCTACTTATACATGGGTTTTTTTCAATAAATATATTGGAAATTTTTTGGACATTGTGACAATTTGAAAAAGTATTTTCTTTCCCATAGCTCTATTATAAGAATATAGCATATCATATATATACTATTCAAAATGTGTTAATCAAGTGTTTATGTTATCAGTAAGACTACCCGTCAACAGTAGGCTATTGGTAGTTAGGTTTTGGGAGAGTCAAAAATTATATGCAGATTTTCAACTATGCGGTAGTGTCAGCGCCCCTAACGTCCACATTGTTCAAACGTCAACTATATAAGTCTCTAGACCAGTGGTTCTCAAATGGGGTAAATCTGTCCCCAGGGGACATTCGGAAATGTCTGGAGACATTTCTGGCTGTGACAGCTGGGGAGAAAGAAGGTGCTACCGGCCACCAAGTAGTGAGAGGCCAGGGATGTTGCTAGTGAATACACTATAAATGCACGGGATAGCTCTACAACACAGAATTATCTGAACCAAAATGTCAAGAGCACCACAGCTGAAAAACCTCACTCTAGAATAAATGTCCTATAAATGAACAACATGGTGTACAGTGGTTCTTACAATACAAAAAAAATTAATAAATTAAGCAATAGGTTATACTTAATAAATTTTTAATACCAAGGAAAGTCACAGGATTTCCTGGTAATACTTTCTTCTCTGCTGAGAAATGTTGGATAGCTTCCCATCACCTATTAAATTAAAACATATTCCATTCCCTCCACTTCAAAGTCCCTCTTGCTACTGCCTAACACAGGCCCTTTGCTCTTATCAAAGTTTGATCCTGCACAATTCCTTGAACACTTCCCATGTGTTCCCTGGCTCCACACTGTGTGTCTCCAATGTTCCCTTCTTCTGAAGCCTATCTCTGTCTCTGCATATAAAAATTCTATTCATATTCTTCAAGGCTCATCTCAAATTTCTCCTCTTCTACCAAACCTTCCATTTGAAAGAAATATTCTCTCCCTTTGAATAATACATTACACGGCAAATATTCACTTTGTCTTTTTTTTTCCATTAGACTCAAAGTTCCTCATGGGTAGGACCCACATCTGATTCATTTTTCTATGTGTCACAGCACTTAACCATGGCCTTTCCATACAGGGACAAGAAATGATGCATACAGAATGACAAGAAAGTAAATGATTTTTTTAGAGAGGATTGTGTTTTACTTTAGGTAAAAGGCTGAAACCAATCCTAATGCCAGTGGGAGTTGAGAAAAATGGAAAGGGACATATTAAGAGACTAAATACATTTTTATCAGACCCAATCTCCACTTAGCAATATTAAGGAACACATATAATTTTATCTCATGGATTTATGAAGTCATGCTCAAAGGCAAAAAGGGAAACTTGGATGTTAGTGCCAGCTTTTAAAATTTAATAGATGACACCAACACCCCTCATCCCCAAATGCTGAACTGTACATCTTTGAAATGGACTCAAGAACCTGTGTTGAGTCTAGACACGCACATTAGAAATACCCAGTAGTGACAATAAGCCATAGTGAGATTGTGTGATGACATTAAGCTTCTATGCACCACAGCATAGGATCTACCTTATCAGAGACCATCACTAGACATACAAGTTGGAGAGTATGCTTCAAATCAAAAAAGTGTTTCTTACTTATTTGTGGTTTCTCCACAAAAATTAACAAACACATTAATTATACATTCTAGTCTTATACAGAGATGAAAAATGAACTTAATCTTCCTTTGACCCCACTCAGAATGTGTTCTGTATATAAACCATGTTTAGTGAGTCCAAATATTTAACTTTCCTATGAGAGTGACAGGACCAGGGAGAAAATCTTATTCTTCTTACTCAATGCCTAGGCTACCTCATTCATCAAGTGATATTCCTTAAACCTGTCATTAGCTGGAGAGTGTCAAAAGGAAAGCAGATTTATTAAGTATCAGATTCATGGCAAGTTCCCATTTTATCTTCTTGTTCTTTAATACAGAAGTATATTTGTGCAAACTGAAACGTTTCTCTAAACCAAAATAGCTCACTGAAAGATGTCCGTATTAGGAAATCCTGACCTCAGAATCACTGTGCTGAGTCTGATTAGCCTCTGAATTGCATTTTCTTTCCTTGTACTTAAGCTCAGCTGCTACCCATCAGTCCGAACTTTCAGGAACAGATACACAAACTGGCTGTTGCCAAATTAAGCTTCTAATCAAGGAAGTAATGGAGTAGGTTTACTTGCCTTGCCAATTTTTTTAAAACACCTTAAAACTCAACTTTTCAAAACTGAAACTTAGAAATTTGACTTTCCAATGTATTCATCCATCTTTTCAGGGCATCTTCTTGTAGTACATCCTTTTGAGAATGTTCACCTTATTAAAGATGACAAGACCACGATCTCCCCAGGTAAACATCACTCAGTGCCTTAACTGCAGAATAAGAATGTGACTAATCTCCTTGAGCCAGATGGGAGGAGCAATGAAACTACCAGTGGCCCCAGGGACTGTTACAGCCCAGGTGAAACCAGGAAAGGAAACCAGACAGACACACCTGTGTTTGTCATAGGGAGCTGTTGGCTCTGTACCATGTAGGACCTAGTTTCCTGCAGGAGCTTCATTTTTTAAAAAATGAGGAGAACAGAGTAGTCATTTCAGCTTCCCATGTTACACTTGTAGTATTCCATGACTTAACTGCTTCTGCCAAATCAAACAGCATTTTTCAATATTTCTCTAATAAAAATGCCTCAAATGTTATCAAGGTTATTTATATCCAAGAAAAGGTTGGTTCATCATCGACACTGCAAACTTTCTGGTCACCAGGTGGCACTGTTGATTAACAAAAGTTACTTAACCGCTACATAACCATCATCCAACGTTAGCAGCCACAAAAAACAGGGACAGCACATATATGCAACCCTGTACCACTAACTCTGCCACTGGAGCGAAACAATGAGGACCCAACAAATACAACATCTTGCTAGAGGTTAAGTTCTCTGTATATGGGCTCCTAGTAAGCCTTATCCTCTCCTAATTATTTAAACAATGAATAATCAGTTTAAGCAGAAAACTATTCAGAAGTATAGTTAATCTTTCTTTAAAATGCATCATCTGTGGGTATCTGGGACTTTAAAATTCAACAACACCCTGTCAGATTCCTGCACTGTGTGCTGAGAAAGGCTGACAGTAAAGCACAGAGGAAATGAGCATTCAGGATGGGCATTTAGTGAAATGCTTTGAATTTTCAGACATGTCTTGCTTTATTTATATTATTCAGATTTCTTCTTCCCTAAATATGAGATCAACAACACAGAATTGTGGGACCCAGAGAAAAATAAGTCTAGTTATTAAGGTTACTTGCCAAAGTTTCCAATTTTAAAAGAAACAACCTAAAATTATCCTGACTTATATATATAATAAAGGGTCCACCCTTATCTGAAAAAAAAATTATCCCAACTTGTGAAACAAAGTACATGATTTAAAAAAAATCAAAGGATCATGTATCAATTTACAAGACATATTACTGCTGTCTTCAAGGAAGCTTGGTGGTGAAGTGTTCAAGAGACCTTGTTAGGAGCGAGAAGACAGATTCTTATTCTCTTTGCCCAGTTATGTCCAGCAGAGGCATCTGACTTTGGCCATGCTCTGTAATATATCTGTCAATATCCTCATACATAAAATCAGTAGGCTGGACCAGATTGAAACACTGTAATGATTCTCATTCTAAAGTATTATAAAGCATTATTTTTTAAAATTCTAAAATGCATTATAGGTGTGGGTAAAATTGTAGTATTTCCAGAATATCTTGCCTGGCTTTGGTGCATCTGCATATCAATAGGCGTTCTTCAGGGGTAGAGAAGGTTCATCTCCGTATCAATGGGTAATTACCTGGGCAGCAGAGAGCTCATATGAATCTGAGAGGTGAGGCAGAGAGCTGATTTGCTTCTGCTGGAGCAGGAAAGAGACAGCCCGGACTGCAGTTTCTAAGCAATAAATGGATTTTAAACTTTATTTCTCCCTTTGACTGATTTGAGTTTTGGAGGTATTTTGCCCCGGGATTTCCTCTCCCAGGAGTTACAATAGGAAATTTGGACAATTAAATAATGGAGATAACTCAAACCATAAACATTTCTCTAAAATTACTATGACTTTCAAGTACTTCCTTCTGTTTTTACAAATACTTGACTGAATAGCATGTAGGATTTTATAGCCCATTAAAGTATTCTAGCCCATATATTCTCTTCCGTAGGAGTAGCTGAAAAACAGGATCTGATTATAGGGGTACGTCATTTGGTACTTAAGTTTTCTACTACTAGACTTTTGGGTCATTTTTAAATTGTCTTGTTCTGTGTTATAAATAGGATGGCCATACATCCTAATTTGCCCATTAGGATTCTGCTATATACCTGTTGTCCAGGTATAACTATAAATGGTGCCCCTTGCACCCATGAAAGGTAATGTGTTTGAAAAATTGTGTGATCATTTTAATTATAAGTAACACTCATCAGCATC